TAGGGAAAGGGCATGGTGTGGGAATGAGTGTGACAAGGTTTGTTTTGTGAACACCTATGGGGAAAAAAAAAAGTGTGTGTGAAGTGGGAGAGAAGAGAAGCAGGTTGGGATGAGGAGGAGGGGATGGGATTGTGAAAGGCAAAAAAAGGGGGCAGCTAGAGTGTTAAAGAAGTGTCTTGCTTACAGGAACTAGGGATTTTTATATCAAGGAATTAAAATCAATCATTCACTTCCCTCTCCCTATAATACAGGCTTGATGCAAAACAGTCCTAGGACACGTTGAAATCCTGCCATTTCTATGGGGAGAGTGCAGCAGCTGCTGAAGAGCTCATCTCTGTGCAAACCAGGTTAGGACAGGAAGGAAGACTACTGGATCCATCTGGCACTGCTTGGGGTAGTGAAGGAGATTGGGAATTTGGCCAACCTATGGTCACAGTTCAGGACCATGGTTTTAAGGCATCCTGTTCCAGCACAGAGCATTATACCACCAAGCTAGTCTAGTTGCTCAAGGGTACACCCTACTGCATCACTAACCTCAGCCAATTCCCATCATTAATGGGGTAAGTTCAAGGGGAATTCTGTAGACGACAGGCAAATCACTCTTTGTGCTAAAACACAATGGAAACACATTTGGAGACAGGGATGGACTAGGGGTGCTGAGGAAAGCACAATGGAGTCAGTGGCAGTTGTCACTGGGAAGGGAAGAGAAGCATTTGTAATCTCGGGTAGATGCCTGCCCCTGCTTTGATGATGCACTGAAGCCAGAGTAAGGGCATGATTTCAATTTCCAATAATTCAAGTTTCTGTTTAAGCTTCTGAGCCTGGCAGAGTGCTCAGAAACAGAGGAGATCTTGCTCCCGGGGTTGGCTTTCCCAGGCTCCTGCAGCTTTGCTCAGAATGCTATTTAAATATCAATTATTGTAATTCTCTGCAGAAATATTACAAGCATTCAGATTTTTTTTTTTTTTTTAACAGCCAAAGGGAAACATTTCCAGCATCTATCAACCCTCTTGTATTTGAATCCACATTAAAGCCTCTTTCCTGAAACACTGGGCAACAAAGCATAATTTATCATTTTATTTTAAGGATTTGCTGTGCCAAAAGCAGACTGCCCCATGCCAAGACAACCTGCCTAGAATAACCTTTGGCTACAGTGGAGTTGGCTGGAATAAAAACGGGTATTGATACTGACAGATCAGTAATAGGGATTAGGTGGACAGGGGGAACAAATGGCAATACACTTCATTTTATTGAAATAAAGAAGTGAATCCCTCTTAGCTGCCTGTTCTTCCCTCTACTTAGAACCTTACAGCTTGTCCCTAGTGATTTCCAAAGCTTCGATCCTCACTGGCCAGGAGCAGATTTTCAAAATAATTCAGCAGCCAACGCGCTAAGCTGTTTGATAAACTAGGCCACCCACACGAATGCATAAATGGGCATTCACCTGTACCAATTATGGGTGCTGAACCTACCTGCATCAACCAGAGAAGATCAGCTTTTAAAAAATGCTGATATTCAGAATTAAAAAAAAATAAAATAAAATAAAAAATAAATTTGGGATTTAAAAAAAATATTGGCAAAAATCCTCCCTTGACAACTTTTCTTTTTGGGGCAAGGGGTGGATTTCTCTCCCTGAGTTTCAATGATAGTGGGTCAAAATGCTTCAGGGTTTCAGATTTCAAAAGATGCTCAAGTTTTTGAGGAAAAAAATGGTTTTTTGTTTTGCAACATCTTTTTTTTTTTTTTTTTCCTTAGATCAGCTGTAATAATGGACTGCTGAAAATCTCTGAGTGGCTCCATCAATAGAGAGTACTAAAAGAGAGCTTTGAGATCCTCTGATAAAATGAGACGTGTGATATTATTACAATGGATAAATACTCATGTGTTCTCAGAACTTTAATGACTAAAGATGCCCAATTAAAAAAACCCAACCCAAACGTGACTCGTCTCTGATCAGAATGACAGCTACGTATTTTGAAAGGCCTTTCTACCCTGCCTTAAAGCAACACTAGTGGTCAACCTCATCCATGAAAAATATTAAAAGACATTTGGTCCCTCTCCTAAATTCCATTTGCACAAGGTTGTAATAATGATTACATTTCACATGAGATTAAAAAGAATCAAACCTACTCGATTCCAGTAGAAGAGCCCATGGAAGCCCTAGTGCTTTGAGGAGAGTTCAAGACGATTTTACGGAAGCATGCCTTGGGGAAATTGAAATGTCAAGCATAATTTGGCACTTGAAAGATGAAGGAGAGAGTCTTTTCATTTATTGTAATCTGCATTTCCCCCTCCTTTGAACTATTTATGCTCCAGCTCCCCCTTTTGCCTTAGCCTTCATTAGGCATTGATGAAACCTGGAGATCTTGAGAAATCCCCAAAGATAAGGAAGTATTTGGCATTAAACTTAGCAACCCAAGTCAGTTCACTGTCTTTTAACGCTCCTATCATTCTTGTCTGGGTGCCTAGATCAAAACAAATTTTCCCTTTGTAATAAAGCAGGTAAAATATGGACCTGATTTTTCATACAAGATGCCAATTCATTACATAGACTTTTCCATGACCAGCCTCACTGTTTGCCTGGTACATTTACATGTACCATACTGTACCCAGTGAAAAACTACAAAAGGCTGGGGATCCTATAGTTTTTACAATGAAACATTGCTTCTCTCGTGTAAGAGAAGTAGCAACACTATTAGACAAACAAACTCAAGTGCATGTCGTGCATTAACATTGTCTCGGGAAACCATAGAGCTGGATAATTTCAGTTGAGATGGAGTGAGACCGACTAGAACTGGCCAGGAGATTTCCGACTAAATGTTTGTCCATTGAAAAATGCCAATTCGCTGATAGTAAAACATCCTGTAGAATCATGATGATTTTTACTAAAGTACAGTTTTAAAGAAATGTGAAAAAAATTCAATAAGGTTGAAGCATTTTGATTTTCTATATAGAAGTGACTTTTCAAATTTCAGATTTTAATAAAACAAATATTAAAATGCCAATTCAATATTTTTTTTTTTTTACTTTATCCAAACAATTGTATTAATTTCATTTTGCAGGACAGTTTAAATATTTTGTTTTCATTTTATTTTGTAATTGAAAAAAAAAATCAACTCATAGAATATGCTATGGCAAGGCTAATACCATTAGAGGCAAGGCTAATACTTGGCTCTAAAGATGATCTTGGTAGGAGCATGGGAATACACACTGTGGCTAGAGACTGACATTACACATAAAACCGGTTTAAGCGATCAGAAACTAGTTTAAACCTGTAACAGAACAGACGTTCAGTGCACATAAACCAGTTCGAAAATGGCTGGAACTGGTTTATGATAAACCTTGTTGAGTGTAGTATCAGACTTAACAGATTTGGGTCAAACTGGTTAATGCAATGTCTGTCCCAGAACCCTTCCTGGTTTAAGTTAAATCAGAGTGCTCCAGCATCCCAGATGCTTGCAACTCTGGGTGGGGCTTTGCTCTCTAATCCAGCCCAGCAGGGCTGGCCTCTCTCCTCTGCTCCCTGGCTGCAGCTCTGGCAGAGACTGCAGGTACAGCTGGGTCTGCTTGGCTTCCTCCTGTTCTCCCACTTCCCACTCCCTGCTCAAGCAGTGATTCCCCCCTCCCCTCTGCTTTACACAGACACCTCTCAGCATTAGCTAGCAGACAACATGCTGGCTACGGTTCGTGCTGTGGGAGACAGGACAAAAGCAGACAGTAGGCTTAGGGCTTTTGAGAGCTAATCAACAGGTAGCTGATAATGTCCCTCCATTCCTTCCTTGGAAAAGATTGTTTAAGAAGAGCTTGAACTAATGAGAGAAGCTTTTGTTTTGTTGATAGACTGATAAATGCTGTGTAACTCCCTGCTGTGCAAGTAAATCCTGTGCAACTCCCTGCTGGCTCAGAGGAACAGCGTGGGGAGGGAGGGGGTGAATCCCTCCCTAATCAGAGAATCTTGCTGGTGCCTGGCCATGCCCCGCTGCCCTCTAAGCACTGTAGAAAGGAAGGGAGGGCTGCTCTAGTGCTCCCCAGCTATTAGCCTGAGCCACTGCAGGCATGTGCCTGCATTTCTTCAGTCCAGAGGAAATGTCTGTACAAATACAAACAGGTTCAGCCTAGCCAGGTTAAACTAACCTGCAAAGATTGAATCAATTCAGGTTCAGACTTTTTGAATGTCTGTCCATAGCCCACAGGTTGAAATTGGAAAGTATTTGCCTTTGTAGCAGTCCAACTCACGTCAAAGTTAAAACATTTGGAGTGAAATTCTAATCTCTAGTCTTGGAGCAATGGCTTCAAAGGATTTCATTTTTGTTCTTCAGAATTATTTTCATTCATCCAAAGGATAACCCACCACATGAAAGGGAGATTTAAAACCATCTAAAGAGGAGGGAAAATCTCTCTGAATCAGTAACATCAGTCACAGCTTTCCATTAACTATGTAGCAAATATAAGCAAGGGTATCCCAGAAGTACACGTGGAAATTCCCTTCAGGCATATCATGAATAGATTAATCCATCTGTATGTGTTTTCTTTAATACATGGCCTGTGGGCTTTGTGTGGCATTGGCTACTTCAGTTAATTATTTCAGGGCTATCCTGTGTCACTGGATGTATGGGCTTTGGAACAAGTTTTACACTGATGACTAATTTGTGTCAGGGAGAGTGGATTGGATTTGAACCAAAACCCATTGATTTTACATCATTACTTTATCCTATCTCTGTCAGTAGAATTAATGCACAATAAATGAAACTGTATCACCTCAATCCTCCTTTGGCATGGGAACAAGACAAGAAAGCCTTTGATTCCCTTTTACTTATGTACTAAGCCAATCATCAACATAAAAAACCCTTCAAGACAGGGTGGTCCTCCTGGCCAGGGACTAGACAAGTACCCTGACCCCATTGCTTTCCTACCTCCTCTTCCCAGAGACTTCTAGTGCAATGCAGGTAAATCTCTTGGATGTCAACTTGGAAAAGCACTTGGGCATGAGCTAAGCAGTAAATCCAGTAGGGCTTTAAGTATGTTCCTAAACAGTGATGGACTCCAACCCATGT